TTCCAGGTTGAATCTCTCCTTGTTCAGTTTCCATCCATTATTCCTTGTCTGACCTTTGAGGACTTTAGAAAATAGCTTGACCCCCTCCTCCTCTCTGGGGCAGCCCCTCAAATATTGCAAGATTGCTATCCTGTCTCCCCTGGTCCTTCTCTTCCCCAGACTAGCCAGGCCCAGTTCCTGTATATTTCTTACAACGTTCCTGCGAGGTCGGGCTGAAAGACAATGGCTGAGCCCAAGGCAGCAAACATCGAAAAGTAAAGGTGGATTTGAACTCGGGCCTTCTATTCCTGGGCCTGCACTTGAAGTACATCTAGTCCTTGACTTACAACCTTTCGTTTAGCGACCGAAGTTATAACGGCCAACTAAAAAAAGTGACACTGCACACTGGTGAATGGCAAGCATTTACACAAACACCTACACCTGAATACAGGTAGCCTTTGAGTTATGACCGGAATGGAGCCCACCCATAAGAGGGATAAGGCATGACGTACATAAAGTGGCTCAGTCATGTGACCGAACTTTTGTCGTTAAGCAAACACAAGTACGTCTTCATCAGACTGATGGTGGGTTGTTTCACTTTTCAACCTCAAACAAGTTAATTCTGGTGTTGCCACTTGCAAAAATCTTATTCACACTTCTTACCTTAGTAACAACAGTGGCATTTTTTTTTCAACAATCAATCAATGTCAGTCATCACACCCAAGTAAATGAGGAGAGGAAATTCCTACCTCATGAGATCTAGCAGCTTGCTTAAATGGGATCACATGAAGGGGTGATTGGGAAGCAGACATATCTGAAATATTATCTGCAGAAAAGGAAAGAAAAAGGAAATCCAGGCAGCCCTTTGACTTACCACCAAAACTGAGCCCAAAGTTTATAGTTGTTCAATGAGACATTTGTTAAGGGAGCTTTGCCCCATTTTACGACCTTTTCTTGCCGCCGTTGTTAAGTGAATCGACAGGGGTTAAGTGAGTCTGGCTTCTCTAATCTGTTTCCTGAGTAGAAGGTCACAAAAAGCAATCACTGCAGCCATGATAAATATGAGTTGGTTGCCAAGGGTCTGAATTTTGATCCTGTGTCCACAAAGATGCTGCAACGATCATAAGTGGGAAAAAGTGTTATTGTAATTATTGAATGGTCCCTAAGTGAATGGTCATAACTCAGGAAAACCTGTTATCTATCTATCTATCTATCTATCTATCTATCTATCTATCTATCTAT